TTTTTGCATTAACTTTATAATTAGAACAACTCTTTCAGAAAAATCTAAAAAATCTGAAAAAAATATATGTTAAATTACAACAAATAAACTTTATTTTAATATAAAAATAAAAATTATTTATTAATAAAATTATAAATTTTAATATAAAAAGAAAATTTCAATTTCATTATATTTTATTAATAAATTTAGCCCTCAAGTCATTACTTTTGGTCATCACTATATGAATTTAATTAATAAATATATTATATTTTTAATTATATTAAAAATAAATATTATATAATTAATAGAGTATTTTAATAAATAAAAAAACAATTTATAATTAGTTATTATAAGATTCAATATTTATAATTATTAATTAAATTTTCTTTTTTCTGAAGAAAATCAGTTTTAAATATTTTTAAGCTTGTTTTATATTGAAATTTCATATTTGAAAATAAATTGAAATATTCAATCTTAGAAAAACCTGAAGAAAATTGATATTTAATATTTTCAAGCTTGTTTTATATTAAATTTTCTTATTCTAAAAATAAGATAAAATATTTAAGCTTAGAATAATCTTAGAAAAATCTTAGTAAAATCTTATAACTGATTTTATTGAAAATTTAAATCTTATGATAAGATTGATTTACAAATTATTTATTATCAGGTTTTACTAAAATCAGTTTTCAGATTATTATCAGATTTTTCTGAAAATTTAAATCCGATAATAATCCTAGTAAAATCTGATAACCGATTTAATTCGGATTTAAATTTCAGAAAAACCTTAATAAAACTTGATAATAACCCGATTAAAATCGATTTTCAGGTTATTATCAGGTTTTATTAAGGATTTTTTTTATAGAGCAAGGAAAGTATTATCAAACAATTAAATTGTTACACAATTGAAATATCATAGATTTATTAAGTCTATCGAACTAAAGTTAAAATACATCATTTTCTTCTTTCCATTTTCTAACGACACCAACCATACGACAATATTCATTAGAATTCACGCCCTTTCCCTTTTTTCCCATAAATTTGTCGATCGCCCCAGTATTATATCCAATATCAATTTCCGTTAAATATTTCCTGATGAGAGATTCAGCCATCACACCTCCAATTGTTTTAGCTACCTTTTGTGTATCCTTAAAATGATCATATAATCCTATAATTGTTTGTATTTTTCCTTTTTTCAAGAGGTGTGGTAAAGTAAAGTATCGGTAAGGTTTGAGGACAAATTTAAGACGAGATGTTTTACTTGGTGAGATGTTAGAGAGAGTAAGTCCAACTCGAGGTGATGTGTATATTTCATTTGAATCTATAAATTTTTCGACTTTCGGACGTTTTTTAGGTCTTTCATCCTCTTCATCAGCGTAAGCCTCTTCAAGTTTCTCATCTATATATACCAAACTGTTTGAATTATGCATGTTCCTAAATGCACCGATTTTTCCATTCCAAACATCCTCCACCAACTCCCGAACACTTGATAATCTTTGACAATCTTTTCCACATGATTCCATGATTTTATCAACAATTAAACTTGGGCCTTCGATAATTTCATTAGTCTCCAAATTTCGAATTGTTCTCAATAAAATTCCTCCATAAATATGTTCCACTGCGGATCCAAATGTAATATCTAGACCTTTTCTGGTGCCACCTCGATATCCAGTTGAGCCAGCGCGATGAAAATAGAAATTACCAAGTTTTAGTTGGTCATTATGACTATGTGCAAATGGATCCGAATGATTGTTCTTATTGTTATCATTGAGATAAAATTCAATTTCGATAATTGCGTATATTTCTTGTTTAATATGAAATCTCGTGTTGTTTATCAAAAAATTTGCAATATCAGTGAAATTCTTTTCGTATGCACAACTTTTCTCATTTGATGATGATAATGCTGCTGTTTCATTAATTGTTGCTATTGTTGTTAAAAGAGAAATTATTGGGGATTTTTTAATTTGTTGGGGTGCGTCTGTCATTTCTTTCAAAATATATCGAAAAGTTGGTTATTGTTCTCCAGAAACGTGGCGTATGTGTTGTAGAAGTTACACTTAGCCCAATTTGATTTTTATTACGTTTTCATACATTAAATAACTTATGCACGCCTGCCACCCTTTGATTATCTGTAATAAATTTCCCAATTAGTGTGTGTGCACTTTTATTACATTCGATGCACCACGAGAGTAGATCTGTTAGACTTCGATAAAATGACTACCTCGGAGACGCGGTGATGATACACGAAAAATTTTGGTTTTCTGATTTTGATGATAAATCTATCATGTTCGAATTTAAAGACTCGAATATAACAGTGATTTTATGTGGAAAACAAGGGGAATGGGTGAGCTAGCCCTTCAAATTCGACTTTCTACTATATTTCTCGACTTTACCTTACGAATACTTTTATTACTACTGTGTGGATAGGGCTGGAACAAGGATGAACTAGACTTAAAACTATGTTCAAGAGAAATGTGAGTAAATTTGATTCAACGAATTACTATATATTTCTCTATCAATTAATTCATTATTCATTAATATTAATAATAATAACCTTCTTTTATTAAATATATTAAAATAATCTATTCTTGCTCTTTTCTCGGTTTCTTTTTTCTTATTCTCTCAATTTTCATTTTTATCAGTTTACTAAACAGTGCACTTCCTCTTACAGCCGTTGTTATATCGATAGTAACCCTTATTGTATTTCAATGTTGTCGAAAGACACCCACCAGACGTACGTACACGCCGATTCCAACCGCAGAACAAATAGAAGCAGAAGAACGTGAACGATATCAATACATACCAATATCTAAATATGATACTGGACAACTTGTAATATCATTTATTCATCTCGGGTTCGTAGGCTTCTTATTTGGATGGAGAGTTGATGAGTATGATGAAAAGAAACACAAGTATGGCGCATTTTGGGTAGTTGGTGCAATTGGACAATTTATATCCTGGGTAATTATTCTCCGATCTGAACGAATACGCTTTATGCATTATAATGTGATTTCAATTAATCTCGATTATATATTTTTTTAGCTTTATATAAGTGCTTTATTAGCATGTCATTTAATGACGAGGAAAAATCAATCAAGATATGGATATCTGAGACACCTTCTGTTTCTTTACGCATTATTTTTGCTTACCGCTATTATAAATCTTCGATCTAATTTAAAAAAAGATCAACAAAAAGTACGGGCTACTTTAGGATATGAGTTAGTGTTTGCCTATTGGAATGTAGTCGCTTGTTTTGTGTTATTTGCCCTTTCTATGATGAGACCACGTTATCCTGAATTAAAACGTACCCCGAGAAGACGACGTTTGTCTCGTGACACTACAGCCTCATTATGGGGCCTAATATCATTTTCTTGGATATCTCCAATTATCAAATTGGGAAATAAAAGAGCTCTAACTTCGGATGATTTATGGGAATTACCGCCTGAATGTCAAGCTGCTCAATGCTATGATGAATTAGATCGGTAGTTATATATTATAAATATCAAAGCTCTTTTTGCGTATTATTTCTGTAAATTAATATTGCATTCATGATTTTTTAGATTGACAAATTTAGATTTATTATCACGATTACTTGTAGCAAATTTAACCAATCTTTTCACGTTCCTTGTAATTGCAATATTTCGTTCAATTTTCGCTTTTACTACGCCTTATTTTCTTCAACTTTTACTGGAATCTATCGAATCAGAAAAATCCAATGGTACACCATCAGAAAAACCGTATCTATTTATTCTGGGAATTCTGATTTCAGAATTACTGCGAATTATATTTTTGAATCAATTGAATTATCAGGTGGTCTGGTTGGGAATCAGAGTCGAGCAAATGTTGAGTGTTATGGTCTACCAAAAGCAATTACGTCTTAAATTATCACTTAATAAAAATGGGAATAATAATCGACCTCATAATGTCCTCACAATGGATGTTGATGATATAGCGGGATTTTTTTCGAACTTACCTTTTCTGTTGACCATACCTTTGGAAATATTGGTGGCAATGATCTATTTAGCCAGATTATTAGGATGGTCAAGTATTATTGGGGTGGCTATGATGACTATATGTTTATGGAGTAACAAAAAATTGACAAGACGCATTGGCAGATTGCAAAAACGAGTCAAGAAAGCTAGAGATGAAAGGGTTGGAGAGATTTTTGAAGTAGTTATACTTTTTTTTCTATTTTAAGAAATCGATTTTATTTATCACACGCATCTCATTTTTTTATCTAATCATAAATAGCTACTTCACGCAGTTCGAATGATTAAAATGTTTGCCTGGGAAAGAAGTTTTCATGAAAGATTAATGTGTAATTCTTGATCACTATTTATATTTATTTATTTGTATTTGTTTAGATTATATCTTTAATTAATGCTTTATTTAAATTTTCATTATAGTTTCACGGAAGATTGAATTAAATCAGATTCGAAAACTTTTTTGGCGAACCACAATTCTAACTCTTGTGGTTCACGTCACGCCCTTCCTAGTTACGCTATTCGCCTTCGCTTCCTTTACATTTGGTTTTAATAACGTGCTTACTCCATCAAGGACATTTACAAGTCTTGCTTTGTTCAACACGCTTAAACAACCATTACAAATATTACCTAATTTAGTCTTTGAACTCGTTGGCCTTGGTGTTGCTGTGAATAGAATTGAAAGATTTTTGCAAGAGGTCGATGTACAAACAGATAATCCAGTTTTTAGCGCGGATCTTGGTGATAATACTACAATTGGCTTTACTAAAGCTGATATAGCCTGGAATCAGATGAATCCAAGGGGACTTAATGAATTTATTTTGAAAGAAGTCGATTTAGAATTTCCGGTTGGAAAATTGAGTGTTATATGTACGTATGAGTATGTTTTGTTTTATTGGGCTATT